GGAGGCTGAGACAGGACAATCACAAATTCAAGCCCAGCCTGGGCAACTTTGCAAGATCTTGTCTCGGAATTTTTTGTTCTTGTTGATACAGGTCTCCTTGTGTAGCTCAGGCTCATAGATCTTCCTATTTCAGCCTCCCCAGCGCTGGGACTACAGATGTCCTCCCCAGCGCTGGGACTACAGATGTATACCACCACGCCTGGTTCTGGGGTGGCACGGTGCACCCAGGATTCCGGGACCCTCATGGCATGAGGCACTGGGGACTGAACTCAGGACCTTGTGCTTGTCAGGTGCTTATGCTGCCGAGCTATCTCCCCAGCCCTGACCTTGTCTCAAAGTTTTTAAATGGGAGTGTGGCAGAGAGGAAGAGAAGGCCCAAGCTTCAGTCCTTAGCACCCTCCCGAACCTTCCCATCTCCCCACCCCCACCTCTACCCCAAAATAAAAAGAGGAAGAAAGAAAAAAAAAATGGTAGTTGCCATGGGCTGGAAAGAAAATTATTGCTTAATGGGTACTGAGTTTCCATTTGGGACAACAGAAACAAGTTCACCAAAACGGTCTCCGCCTGCAGATAAGCCACGTGATGTGACACGGAGGCAAGAGAGGCAAGAATGGGCCCGCCTCCTGGAGAGCTTGTCCTGGGCTGGGCAGGCCCCGCCCCAGAGGTTCCGCCTACACAACTGGGCAGTCCAAAGTTCTGGACAGTTTAAGCTCTGAGAATCAACTTTCAAAGAGACAGCAGGGGGACCCACTCTGAGGTGGGAGGGTGATTTCCGAACGCACTCGTTCGTTTCCACACTGAATCATATGGTATGAGTCGCTGAGTTATCTTGATTTGAAATGCTTCCTCCGTGACATTTTGTAACAATTCAGATTGTCTCCTGATTTGTGTGCATAAATAAACAGGAGTCCTCATTTGGATTAATTACATCAAAAGATATATTACGTGTGTGCATATAAAAGATTCATTTGTCTAAGTATTAACCAGGATGCTGTTGACAAGTGAAAACATGTTTTACCAAGTGGTGAAGAGACATATGTTTATATTTATTTGGAATTAAATGGTGCGTTTGGAAAGTGAAACATTCCCCCAAATCCTTGCTCTTTAAAACAATATCAAGGGGCTAGGGAGATGGCTCAGTAGCATAAGTGCTTTCCTGGTAAGCGCAAGGGCCTGAGTTCAATCCATAGTTCCACAAAAATAAATAAAAAATAAATAAATAAAACAATATCAAGCTTTATTAAAGAAAAATATAACAAACCACCTGTGACCAACACTCAATTTTATGACTTTTAAGCATTTTGTCTACCATCCCACCTCCTGAAGGTTTGCATTTTTTTCCTTTCCTGCTTTTTTTTTTTTTCCCTCTTTGTTTTTGAGACAGAATCCCACTGTGTTGAGCAGGTTGGCCTTGAACTCTTGAACTCTTGGGCTCCAGTGATCCTCCTGTCTCAGCCTCCCAAGTAGCTGTCACTATAAGTGCATACCACTAAGCCTGCGCCAGTACACTTTTTTTTTCCATGGGCAGAACAAAGCGATTGATCTCTTCCAAAACGGATTGTAATTATTTAATAAGAAATTGTCTCTCGTTGCAAAAACTTGTCCATGAAACGCTGTTACCATAACGGGAAATTGCATAACTGGTCTCCGAGGGACGTACCACCACGCTGAACTGCTTGCGGAAGTGGAAAGTGCTCTGTGCAGCGGGGCCTCCTCCCACCTGGGCCCTCCCGGGTGCCACCCAGTGCTGCTACCTGGAGGCCTCTTCCTCTGCCTCTGCACCCCTCCCTTCCTTTCCCGCCTCCAGAGAGCTCTGGGGCCCAGGGCAGCTCCTCAGGAGCCCCCCCACCCCCACCCCCTCCCCAGCACAGGGCTCCAGGCAACGACCTTCCCACCCAGGGAAGGGCAGCCATTCATCCTGCGGGAGCAGTGGGTGTGGTAAGGTTCTCACCCTGTCAATTCAAGGAAACTCATTAAAGTTTCTGCCCAGGAAACAGAAAGAGAAAGCCCAACTCCTCACAGTCCAGTGGTGTGGAGAGACTCAGAACGAAGAAACTGGTTTGATTTGACCTTGATTGAGGACTACATCTAAGGTCCCAGCCCTTGGTGGCCTCTGAGGCTGCCAGGACCTCTGCTTGAAGCCCCTGGACTGTGCTCCCATGGCTTCAGTCTCCCATGGCATTCAGCTGTTGGTCACAGGAATGAGAGTGACAAACCGATGAGGACCCCAGGTCCTTCTCCCTGGGACCCAGCACAAAGATGTAGAGGCTCCCTGAGGGCCACAGAGCAGGGGCCTGAGCCCAGGATGAGGCAGAGGGCACCAGCTGTGGGGCTGGGCAGACCCAGGCTGTGCCTAAGCCATCTCTTAAGTGGCCTGGGCCTCTACACCACTCTTCACCCGCAGCTGCCTCCTCTCTAAGCAGAGGGAAGTGCTCGCCTCACGGCTCGAGGATGAGGGAGAACATCCTGTCTATGAAGTACATGGTGGGAGGCTGATGAACGGCTAAGAGCAACTTGATTTTATAGGACTTCTTTTGCATTAAGGGGAAGGAGCCCAGGGTTTCCTGTGTGTTAGGCAAGTGCTCTGCGACTAACACCGCTGGTGCTTACTAGCTCATTTTAATGTCACCTCTGCTATAAAGGGACAGTGAAAGTCCAGTAGCCTCTCCCAACACACAGGCCCACTGTGGAACTCACACTGTAATCAATCCTGGGGTCTGAAGTTGAGGTTCCTGCAGTACCCACCATTCTTGGAAACTTGTGGCTCAGGTCATGCCCGAGTTTGTCCTGTCTTTGTTGGGTCTGTCCAGAGACTTTTTCAGTGTTTGGGACCACACCAGACCTGCTGAGCCAGAGGCCCTGGGGGTAGAGCCAGGCAGATCTAAGGGCCATGCTGCCTGCATGCGCGCATGGCTTGGCCGGACGTGCATGGCTTGGCCGGACGATGCCTTCCACCAGTTTTTTCATCTCCCTCCCTCCATGCTGGTCCCCAATGCCTTGTCATTTGAAGGCTGAGGGTGTAGCTCTGGTGAGGAGGGGTGATTGCCTGGCAGGCACAAGGCCCTGGCTATCACCCCAGTATCACACAAACAAGAAAGATAGGATATTGGGCCAGGGATACAGCTCAGATGCACAACACCTGACAAGTGCAAGGTACTGAGTTCGATTCCTGATTTAAAAAAAAAAAAAAAAGGCCAGGGAGATAGCTTAGCAGTCTAACTGCCTGCCTAGAAGCACAAGGACCCAGGTTGGATCCCCAGAACCACGTCATGCAGGCCATGGCCCGGGCACATTGAGTCAGCCACTAAAACCAGGCAAGGTATCACATACCTGTAAACCTAGCACTGGGGAGGCTGAAACAGGAGGATCACTACAAGTCTGAGCTGCGAAACAAAACCCTGTACCAAATACATAAATTTTTTAAAAAGATGATATTGAATAATATATGAATTTTAAAACCAAAAGAGAAAATTGCTTCCGGATATTCTTTAAAAAATTATAGGGGCTGGTGAGATGGCTCAGTGGTCTAAAGCACCTACTTAAAAAAAAACAAACTTAGCAAAGCCCAGGCACCGCGGTTCAATTCCCCCAGCACCACATGCCAGCCAGCCCGCCCCCTGGTGGGCTGAGCTGGCCACACACACAAATAAATAAATAAAATTAAAAAAAAAAATTATAATGAAACGTCAAGTGCAGATTCTTTTCATGCAGGAAGGTATTTTCTCTGAGGATACCGGGCAGCTTTATTAGTTATTCTGAAATTATCTGGCAGGCATGCCCTCCAATGACCCGCAGTGAGTGCTTTGGGATTTTACTGCAAACCTCACCTGACTCAGGTGTTGGGCTGCCACTATTTGGGACCCGACTCTTCCCAGGGGTTTCCCTAAGCCCCTGGCCCAGCTTTCTCCCAGCTGTGGGGCTACATCAGAACAGCTGTTGGTGTTATTTTGGGTGTTTGTTGGAGACACAATCTCACTATGTAGCCCAGGCTGGGCTTGAACTCTTGATCCTCCTGGCTTCAGTGTCCCCAGTGCTGAGATTTCAGGCGCGTGTACCAGGTCCAGCTCATGATAAGAGTTTAAGGCCCTGTCCTGAGCACATCTCTGCCACTGCAGGATGGCCAGTGGTGGTTTTCATAGACGTGCAGAAGCCCTGGTGTCCTTGTACCTTGGTGAGGGAAAATGCCCACATACAGAGCCAGTTCCAGTGAACAAGTGTTCCCTGCCATCCTCTGCCTCATAACCATCTGCCGCCTCCAGATCTCCTGGAAAGAGCTCCATAACCATGTCATCCTGACAGAGACACCTCAGGGAATGGGACACCACTCCTTCTTCCCCAAAGTCCTTCACCACCCACACTGCCCAGCCACCATGGGGGGCGGCTGGCTCCTGTGTCGCTCCCCAAGGGCTAGCTTCAGCCTCAGGGCAGAATGTGGTGTCCCCTTAGGAGCCAGTGCATCTCATGGGATAGCTCTTAGCTTTCCTACTGCCCAGCTTGGGGACAAGAAACAGATGCCCTTATTTTAACTTCCAGGCTGAATTACGTAACCTCCCAGGCCTCCCTCAACCTCCCCCTCCCTGCCCTGAAGTTTACACAGCGACTCTCCCCGCAAAGCACCCACAAGATGGCTTTTCCTCAGTTTGGAAGATGTGGATGGCCGGGTACCAAGTTTTTCCTGCCTCAGTTCCTTTTCAGTGGGCGCTGGATTCAGCCTATCGGAAGATCAAGGGTCCAGCATGGCCTTTGTGATGCTGTGGCAACCCCACCCGGCCTCTTGATAAATAAGGGCCCTTCGTTTCCTCCTCGGACGTCCATCATCTGGTAATGCCCCTTCCAGAAATCCCAGGACCCAGGCTGGGAAATACTTCCATAATTAAAGCTTTTGGAAGAACTGCTACTTCTTTCTTAAACTTACCTGCTCTCCTGCAGAGCCACTTTATCCTGCATTACGGGGGTGCCCCAGTGACCTGCTCAGTTGCCCAAAACAACATTATCTCAAGTGCATTCTTAGAAATGGTTTATTTCAAATGTTTACAATTCTCATTTAAAATGCAAAATAGCAGGTAAAAAAAAAAAGAAAAAAGCATTTAAAAAAATACAAATCATACTGACTATATAGACATCAGTATTTTCTTTCACACAAGCAGGGAAAATCCCTTAAAACTATTATTTCTCTCCAAAAAACAATGTAGAGTTGAGGTATTGTATTTAATAGATGTGTTCTCTATCCAGTAAGGTCTCTCTGATAAGTAACAGCCTTGCTACCTGCTGTCCCCATCCTTTCCTTCCAAAGCGGATCTGGGTCTGAGCATATGTTCACAAAACTGACAACGCTCCTTAATAATCATTAAGGTTGCCATAGAAACGTCCTATTGTTGGTGCCTGGCCATACTGGGGACTCAAAGCCAGAAAGACCTTTTGGGGCCATTCAGGAGCACCTGGCACAGGACCTGAGCCACTGGCCTGCCCCCTCTAGCACTGCCCACAGCGGAGCACGAGAGGCTCATGGGTGGCTTCCGCCTCCCCACAGCAAGACAGATTTCTCGCCAACCCAGTGAATCTCCTCCTGAACTGGGTCAGCCTCAGGCTCTACATGAGACACTCCAGCTCAGCACCACAGCAGGTGGGTGAGACATTCCTGAGCAGTCTTCAGCGGAGCCACAAGCCACGGCTGGTCCCGGCCTGCCCCAGCTTACCTTGCCCACCACCACCTCACTCCAGTTCGGTTCCTGAGCAGAGTCTACACCTTGCCTAGGTGACCAAGATGGCAGAGAAACGGTGGAGACTCAGCGTGAGCTCAGAGCCCAGCAAACAAACCACAACGGTTCTGCGCTGTGACTCATGCAGAACAAGTAGGCACAGCCACAGCTACACCCTTGAAATGTCCCTAAAATATTTCATTAATGCTACCAGAATTATTTGGTACAGACCTCAATCCAGCGTTATCGCTGACTTCTCCCACCCCACGGGATGGATTGGTGCCTCATCTAAATTTATCTCTGTCCTAACATGTCCCATCTGGCTGCATGGCCAATGGCTGCAGGTTTCAGGTGCATGCGGGCTGCAGAAACCCAGGAAGGAATGACCAGGGGCCCCGGGGATTAAGCACAGCACAGCTACCAGACTGCAGCCCAAGAAAGCTTAGGGCCTACGCAGACCTGGGCTCAGAGAAGACAAAGACTCCCTTCACAGACACTAGCTTATAAAAATAAAGGGGGGAAAAAACCCTCTTCAATACAAAAAAAAAAAAAAAAAAAAAAAAAAAAAGAAGACAGTTCCGTTACAGTAATAATGAAAGTAATAACAGTTTGGAGATCAAAGCTGCCTAGCTCCTAAGATAATGAGCTATCTAGATTTAAATCTTCCTCCAGCATGGTTCTGCCGGGCTTTAGTAATGTTATGCGTGAGTAAAACCGTGCACAAGAATTAAAGAACTGTGGGCACAGAATCACCTTTTCTCATGAAGGTCCTCCTTTCTAATATTTCCCTTTCACAGCAGTTTAAAGAGTCTCAGAAACTTTGCAGGAGGAGGGGGAGAGGCCATGAACACTCGCTTAACTTTTGTCCACAGTAAATGGCACCTAAATGAGCCGCAGGGCCTGAGCTGTACAGTCAAAGCTGCTGACAAAAATCACTACTAAGATAGCAACAACTTGAATGTGGCAAGCAGCGCACACAACACAGTGGCTTTCATCCTTGGCCACCTGTTCAGTGGCAGCGGTGTCTTTCTAGAAGGGTAAACTACTAGAAAAGCCTTGTGGTTTGGTAACTCTGGGGTCTGTGGTTGCAAAATTCATTTTAATCACAGTTCTGCTGTGTGCTGTGTGGGCACCTGTCTGGGTCACCGCTGACATCCTGAGCCTGGACAGATGTCAGCTGAGGTGCTACTCGGCACTGCAGCCCCATCCTTCATGAGCACTAATGTCCCAGCCTGAATGACTTCAGCACAAGGAACGAAGCAAAAGGGAGAAGGCACCAATGTAAGGGGTTTTCTTCAGTGAATTTCCCGATAACAGGGTGTGCCTTCAAGGGCGGGGAATTTCACGACTGTGCCCAGTAACAGTAGGAGGCTCGAGGCCCGGAAGGCGTCACCCACTCCTTCACACTCGCCCAGAAAAGCAGCCATAGCCATCTTTCCCCCAAAACCCGGAGCACCAACCTGACTTTGGCACTCAGTAAGGCAAAAACAAAATACAGAATGAAACCAGAATCTTGTCGCTAGTAGAGAAAAATATTTTTCCTCCTCCTCCTCCTCCCTTTTCACTTGACATGGTTTTGTGACAAACAGTTACCGTGCTTCCCCTCAACCCCAAGCTATTTATATACTGACACCCAGAGAATACTGGCTCTTCCCACATCTCAAGAGAAAATAGCATTTTTAAAAAATTAAACTACATTCTTTAAAAAAAAAAAAAAAAAAAGCATTCTTGCTAGGTTCCTTTTTTTTTTTTTTTTTTCATATGAACAAGCTCATTTCTAGTTACTCAGTCCAGATGGAACCTGGAGTTGACCAAGTTCATGGAAACACTCTGCTCTCAGCCCTGGCAGCACATCCCCAGCTGTCTGGCCCTCCTTAGCGCCCAGGGGCAGAGAGTGTGGGTTGCAGAGCTCCGGTCCCCTCCACCGTGACAGGGACCACGGGGACCCTGTCTCCACCCCCCTCTCCCTCTCGGCTTCTCTCCTCCCAAAACCCTGAGGTGAGCAAGCCAGGAGCCAGTGCAGCACTCTGGAGTCGTCAGATGCCTAGATTATGTATCCTTCACATTAAGCACAGTTCATGAAGAACTAATTAAGTTCCACTTACACCATCAGGCCCTGAGATATTATTCACCACAACCTGCCTTCTCAGCTAGGCGCTCATTCAAGTGTGGGAAGAAAGGCAGGAAAGGGTTTCCTCCTCCAGCTGGCGTGGTTTAACAAGAAGCCCTCACAGGCCTAGAAAAAAAAAAACAGAACGGCAAAGGCACTTGGGTGTCCAAAGCTTGAGCTAGAAGAAGCCCGAGGAGCTCGCCTGCCTGGGTGTAGCTGGGGGTCCGAGTCGGGTGTGGGTGACCACCAACCCCTCAGCCAGTGTCTCTCCTCGGCTCTCTGTTGGCCTGAGTTTCTTTTAGCCCCTTGTAAGCAGAGCATTTGGGAAGGGAGATTTGAGAATTCAACCACCTCTTCCTTCTGGATGGAGGAAGCAGTGCACTGGCTTCTCCAGTGTCAAAGTGTCCCCTCGGGGGCCGGTGTGCAACAGAGAAGCCACAGGCCCCGCCCCTGAGAAATGTGGGATGGCAGTGAGATGAGTCTTCTTCCGCACCAGCCATCCAGTGTCTGATACCCAGATGCCAGGTGCCACCCAGACAGCTATCTGGAGAAGTAGTCTTTGTTGCTGACGTCGTAAGAACTTCGCTGGTCTTTGGTATCTGGCTGGCTTTGACTCAAGGCGTTGTCCGACCCCAGGCTGTTGGGGGACACTGGAGGGGAGAGTAGAGGCACAAGCACGATGGTGGGCCTGGGCTGCCCCAGGGGATACGGTGGGTGCATGCTCGGCTTGCACTCCTGGAGAGTGCGTGACTTCCACGTCCTCTTGAACCTGCGCACAACACAGAGAGACAGATGTGAGGGCCCCTGTGATGAACCTCGGCAGGAAGTACTGACAACCGGATGCCTGACATGCCCAGCTCTCAGCTCCAGGGACCTCATGGTGCTCTGCAGAGACAGGAAATTCAGAATTTGAAAGCACCCTTGAGAGATAAGTGTATATTACTGGGCCACTTTACAAGTGGGAAGACTAGTCCTTTTATTGCCCCCCAAAATTCACTCCAAAGTCTCTTAATTTGGCCTGCTCTTGAAGCTACCTGGTAGGTACACATCAGCCCCATTGGTACAGGGTCTCACTACCCAGCTCAGACTCATAGTGATCCTTCTGTTTCAGACTTGTCAGCACTAGGATTACAGTTGTGCACCACCATGCCTGGTCTCAGTGATCGGCTCAGTGCACTGGGGCAGGGCCGCTGCAGCATGTGATGTTGGGGATCAAACCCCAGGTCCCAGTGCTTGCCTAAGTAGGTGCTTAGTCCACTGAGCTATCTTGCCAGCACCCAAATCCCTTTATTTGAGAAGAAAAAGGGAGCATTCTCCAAGCAGGAAAGGAAAATGAGGCCCTTGGTGCAAGTGGAGCTGCTGTGGGGAAACCATCGCAAACACCATGTACTGGTCGGGTAAGGGCTGCTGCCCCTGCCTCCCCCAGTCCCCGCCTCGCCCACTCCCTCCAGTGTGTGTGTGTGGGGGGGGGCTCTGTACTCCCACATGGCCACTACTGGGCACGCGTTGACTTGTCTAACGGGAAAGCGGTTGTTAAGCAGGAAGAAGATAGACATCTCTCTGATCACAGCTTCACTCACAAGAGCCCCACTCTGGGCTCAATGCCAGGGCTCAGCAGCTGGGCAAAGTCACTTAACAGCTCGGAGGAAGATGAGCAGTGATAGCCATCTTCGAAGGTACAGTCAGCTCTCCTTCCTGGAGGGGCCCTTCACAGAGCGAAGCCGCCGGGCCTCTTCGCTTGCTCTCTGCAGCCAACCTGCTGCCTTCTAACCTGAAACCCAGAGCAGGGTGGCCTCCCCTCAATTCCATCTGATAGCAGCTACTCCAGGAAGGAGGGGAGACCAATGTCAAAAACAAGATCTGGGTATTTTCCTCGGACTTCTTTTTATATCAGCAGGCTATTCCTGTCCTTGTTATGATAAATAATTAATAGTTGGCTCTATATCTGCCACTGGCTCTTAGCCTGCTATCCAAATGGAATAAACAATCTGCAGAATGTTACTCAGGGCTTTGCTACTTGAACATGAAACAGGAAGAGCCCAGCAGGGACGATTACTGGAGTTAAGCTGAGTTCTTGAGTGAAATTGTCCTTCCTGAGAAAGGACTTTGGACAGCATCATCGTACACTGTACCGTGAGAGGCTCAGGCCCTCTGCCCAGGAATTCCCTTCCCGGGAATACACCTTAAAGAAACCACACAGCTATGGAAAAGCTTTAGGCCCACAGATGTTCAACACGGTGTTGTTTATAGAACCAAAACAACAACTAAACGCCCAGTAATAAAAACGAAGTTAAGTGAACTTCGCTATGTCCCTAAAAGAGAAGTCTCTAGTTAGTTTACAGTTTATAATAACGAGAAAAAAAAAATGCTTGCTTTATAAAATGCTAAACTTAAAAGGTAGGTCTCAATATTATAGACACAGAATAATCACAGCTTTATAAAAACAAAGAAGACACTATATAGAGGACAAAGTCTCGGGATAAATTCACCTAAACATTTAGTGTTCTTGATTTGGGTATTAATCGTGTGTGTGTGTGTGTGTGCGCGTGCGCGTGTGTGTGTGTGTATTCATTTTATAGAAATTCATGGAGCTATACATTTATCATCATCATCATCATCAATTCCATCTGATAGTGGCTACTCCAGGAAGGAGGGGAGACCATTTATCATAAAAAAGGACAGGAACAGCCTGCTGATACAAAAAAGACATCTAAGACAAATACTCAGATCTTGTTTTTGACATCAGCTGGACATTGAACCCGGGCCATCAGACTACGCTACACTGTTGACCTTGTTTGAATTTTTTATTATGCTACAGGATCTCACTAAGCTGCTCTGACTAGGCTCGAACTTGCTATCCTCTCACTTCAGCCTCCCACAGTGCTGAGATGACGGAAGTGTGACACCACATCTGGCTTGCAGCTATACAGTTACTATGTATATGCTTCTCTGTATGTTTATTAGACTTTAACTACATTTATATTTTTAAGATGAACAGGAGTCATCTTTGGATGATACGATTTTTTTCTTTCCTTTTTGTAGTATTTAACAAATTGCTGAATTAGCGATCTTTTCCCCTCAGTGTTTTTTTGTAAAGCAACTGGGTGGGTAATTGGGCGAGAGTTAGCTTTTCCTTTTGAAGTACTTGTAAGAGTAAATAAACTCCGTGTGAAATCACTAAGCTCAAAGGGGCCGTGGACCCCAGCCAGCTGGGGTAGGGGCTGGAAGGCAGGGGTGAGGTGGGAGGGAGAAGTCACTGAGCCACTGGGCTCCTTTATCCCTGGACCTCCACCGTCTATCTACTTTACTCAGGCTTTATAAAGTTTTGATTAAAGAAAATGTTCTATGGCTACAAGAAGTTTGTTTTTTAACTCTTGTTCTTTGTTAGAAAGATGTAGAAACAGAGGTCCTCCCAAGGCCCAGAGAATCCCCACTGCCCCAGCCCTTCTGTGGCCCAGGACACCCAAAGGTCTTCTATTCACACCCTGGAGGAACGGCTTGTGATCCCACATGGGAACGAGACCCTCCCCCTAATACGAGATGAGTTTTCAAGCCCAGGCCTTTACCACAAGACTCCTCATTCAGCGTCTGTTACACACAAATGTGGAGAAAAAGAATTATCTGCTAGAGCCGGGGAGATGGCTCAATAGAACAGGCAAATGCAAGGGCCTGAGTTCAATCCCCGGTTCTGCCCAAAAAAAAAAAAAAAGTTATCTGCTAGTACTCTACTTGCCCAGTGCTGGGTATCACAAAATATGGAGTCAGTGGGGGAAGGAGAATGGGGAGAACTGGCCCCTGAAAGCCACAGTATCCACTTCAGAAGATGGAACATATTTGAAGTTAAACATTATCTCTGATATTGCTGGAGCAGCATTCAGGGCAACGCTCTGACTGGGATGCAGAGTCAATGTGCTAAGAGTAAAAACACGACACTGCGGGCTGCAGGACACTGCCACCACTCTAGCGCTCTGCCTAGAGTGGTTACAGGGGGCAGCCTCTTGGCACAGTCAGGCCCCCACAGTGTCCCTAAGCTTGTGCCCTTTCCTTGACAGGAGGCACCTACCTTGGCACCCAAAGAGCTGTCACCACCGGAAATAGCTGGTCTCTGTCTGTCCAGATAAATGTGCCTCCCACAGAAGTCCACAGAAACTCACCAGTCTAAAAGCAAATTGCTGACATCCTTGACCCTGGCCACTGGCCCTGTCTGTGCTTGCAAGGGGCGCTGGTTGCTTAGCAACCAGCCAGCAGGGGGCCTCTGACAGAAGGGCACAATGAGCATCCTTAGAGAGAAGCTGTCTCTGCTGCTCCTCCTGGGACCTTTCTCCTTCTCCTCCTGGCCAGGCCAACTCCTCTTCCTCCTGGGTGTTGGCTGGCTCTCCTCACCTCTTTTAGAAGTACTCATCACCCCAGCCATCACCCCTTGTGTGCAGCGCCCTTACTAGACGGTTTATCCCATCCGCAGCGTCTCCTGTCAGCTCTGCAACAAGGCTCAGCAGAAGAGAGGGTGCTATGTGTGCTATGTGCTCTGTGTGTGTGTGTGTGTGTGTGTGTGTGTGTGTGTGTGTCTGTGTTCAGCTGTTGGATGAATAAATGATTAAGCTGATGTTCTGTGAAATTTTGATGACCAAATAGACAAAGGAAAGTTTGTTATGAACTATGGGAACAGCCAGGCATGGTGGTGCACACCTGTAATCCCAGCACTTGGGAGGCTGAGGCAGTTCAAGGCCAGCCTGGGCTCTGTAGTAGATTCAAGACCAGCCTAAACTGCATGGCAAGACCC